TAGTACATTGAGTAATCATTTGACAAATCAATGTAAGAAGTATCCTGGTAGATTGGTGGATAAGAAGCAAAAAACATTATCATTTGAGAACAAGAAAGAGGATGGAGGTAGCAATCTTATTGTTGTTGGTCGAAACAAGGAAGAGTGTAGAGTTGCATGTGCTAAAATGATAGTTTTGGATAAATTACCTTTGAAGTTTGTTGAAACTCGTGGTTTTAGGCTCTTTTGTAGTGTAGCATGTCCTCAATTTAAGGCTCCATCTCATAGGACTCTTGTTAGAGCTATTTATCAGTTGTATTTAGATGAAAAATTGAAATTGAAAGATGCCTTTTCTTTTCATCGTCAAAGGATTTCCCTTACAACTGATACTTGGACTTCTATTTAGAATGTTAATTACACGTCTCTTACAGCACACTACATTGATCTTGATTGGACGCTCAATAAGTGTATTTTGAGTTTTTGTGTTATTCCAAATCATAAGGGAGAAACAATTGAAAAAATGATTGAGTCTTATTTGCATGATTGGGGGGGGGGGGGGGGGGGAAAATTTTTGCAATCATTGTTGATAATGCAAGCTCCAATGACACAGTCATTTCTTATCTTAGGCGAAAGGTAGTTACTTGGGGTAGTGGTGGATGTATTCTAGATGGGAAATATTTGCACTTGAGATGTTGTGCACACATCATCAATTTAATTGTTAGTGAAGGGTTAAGGGAAGCACATGACTCTATTGTGAATATTCGCAATGCAATCAAATATGTAAAATCTTCTCCCTCTAGGTATGAAAAATTGAAGGAGTGTGCAAGGAAAGAAAAAATTGATTACAAGTCAATTGTGTTTTTGGATGTTCCAACTAGGTGAAATTCTACCTATTTGATGTTGGAAACGGCATTGAAATTTGAAAAAGCTTTCGATAGGTTAGAAGAAGAGGATGCTCAGTATTTGCATTACTTTTGAGAAGATGATAGTGGTAGAAAGAGGGATGGACCTCCGTCAAATTTAGATTGGAAAAGCGCATCCGTATTTGTTAAATTTCTTAAAAATTTCTTCAACGTGACTTTGAAGTTTAGTGCTTCATTGCAAGTTAGTGCTTGTGCTTATCTTCATGAAATTTGTAATCTTGTAACCGAATTGGATGAATGGATATTAAGTGGAAATTTTTTGTTGGGTGAAATGGCAACTAACATGAAGAAGAAGTTTGATAAGTATTGGGGTAAAATGGAAAGTGTGAATCAATTATTGCTTTTTTGCTGCTATTCTTGATCCAAGATACAAAATGGATTATGTTGAATATTGTTTGAATGATCTATTTAAGGATTGGGAAGTTGTTAGTAACATGATGAAATCTTTGAAAGCAAATTTGATGGCTATTTATGAGTGGTATGTGAGTCATGAAGGTATTCATAGAAGTAGTCAAGCATCAACTGAGGAGTCTTCAAGTTCTATTAATACTTATAAAGGATGTTCTTCTATGAGTGATGTTCGTCTTTCTAGATTTATGGAAAAACAAGCAATTAAGGATAAGGTTGAGATAAAAAGTGATGTTGAACGATACTTATTGGATGCTCGTAAAAGCATAGAGAATAAGGATTTTGAAGTTCTAGATTGGTGGAAGGTGAACGGAAATAAGTATGGTGTCTTGTCCAATTTGGCCAAAGATGTTTTGGCTATTCAAGTTTCAACTGTTGCATCAGAAAGTGCATTTAGTACTGGAGGAATGATACTTTATCCTTTTCATAGTTCCTTAAGTCCTAGAATGGTCGAGGTCTTAGTATGCACTCAAAATTGGTTGAAAGCTTCTCTAAACTTGGATGGTTTTTGTATGGAAGATGTTGAGCATTACAACCAAATGGATGAACTTTTAGAATCAATAAATTCAAATTCAACTTCAACTGAAGATGACCAAAGGTCCAATGCTAAATGATTCATTCATTTTACATGTTTTCACTTTTGAGGTAGGCATATTAATCTGACAATAATTTCATGATTTGTATGTTTCCATCAATTTTCTTATCTTTGTAGAACTGACTTATAGTTTTTATGCTAACAGGACACTTAATACTGCAGTATTGCAGAGCTCTAGTATTACTTTTGCTTTATATTAATATACTTGAGCTTGGTTTTGTTATTCTTGCTGTTTGTAAGTAAAAAATTTCTGTTTCTAGCCTTGTTAAAATCCTTATAATTCATCTAATTGGACTTGAAATATGCATATCTACAATCACTATGTTATGCTATGTGTTTTTAGAATATAAGAAGATTGGCAGCTTTAATGGACAAACTATTTGTCTTGGTCTGGAAAGAGGTGTCTGGGACCTCATTATCCCTCAAACTGTCTGGCCTTGAGATCAAAGATTTGAACACAACAACTTAGCATTCTCAGGTAATCCCCTCCTCTATAATTCAAAGAATCACATTATTAGTTTTGGTTCATATCAAGCTTAGTCTTCTAATTCAATGGACAAATCAAGCTTATGCTATTTATGCTTCTATTATGCACAGACAGATCAAGCTTCCAACATTTTCATTTTTATGTGATCTGTTTACTTGTACAGGTCAGAATCAACAGCTGCGGTTTTTGGTTGGGATTTGTTTGAAGATTGCAGATTGAGTTCTGAGATGGCAGCTCCTTTGAAATGCAATGGATGGCAGCTAATGAGATGGAGAAGTATGGATCCAGATTAGCATACCACCTTTTATTTTTGTATCATTCATTCTCTGGTGAAGATCTTCATCATGCAGTCGGTCGGCCACTTAGCAATGTATGCCTGTAAAATATGAAGATCAAATATACCATTAAGGCATTCACTGCATACTTTTACGTTCACACACACATGCATTATTAGCTTAAGCCATTTTTCCATGTCCACAGTTCAATGCTCTATAGAATGGATTAGGTTACTTTCTCTTGACATTCAGAATCTACTCTTGTAATTGATTAGGAGGAATTGCCACTAGATATTATGCATCATTCATGTTTCTCTTGATTTGTTGCTTTCCCTTGCAGGCATTTCTTCTTCATAGCAATATTTACAGTGGATGACAGCTCGTTTGAGATGCAAAGCTTCTGAAGGATCATTTTTTTTTTTGTTTATGCAACTGTAAAAAGTTTACTGTCTGTAATAATTTTGAAGTTTATTGACATTGGTAACTGTATGTTGTAGTTGGGTGAATATTTATTCGGATGGTTGTACCCCTATTAAATATTAATCTTATTTGGATGACGTATCGATTTTATTTGAGTGTATTTTATTACACTTTGTGCAAACCAATCGAGACTTGATTGGGTTGGGTTCCAATATTTAATTGGGTTGGGTTGGTTTGATTGGGTTGGGTTGGATTGAGTTGAGTTTCAATATTTAATTGGGTTGGGTTGGTTTGATTTTAAATCAAACCGATCATATTGGGTTGAATTTGGATTGGGGCAAAAATCGACCCAACCCGTGCCCACTCCTAGATGCAAATATGTATAAATTATAAAAGCCAACATCAAGAACAAATGATTTGCAAAATCAAACCGACCATGTCGGGTTGGATTTGGGTTGGGGCAAAAACCAACCCAACCCAACCCATGCCCATTCCTAGATGCAAATATTTATAAATTATAAAAGCCAACATCAAGAACAAATGATTTGTATTAAATTACTAGCAAATGCCGTGTGCTTTGTTACATGTTTGATATGTGAATTATAAAATAATAAGGATCTATTTGACGTGACTTTTAAAAAGTCGAAATGAATTTTTGAAACCTAAAAACTACTTTTAAACTCGTTTGGCTAATTTTATAAAAAAAATGCTGCTTCTAATTGGAAGAGTTTTTAAAAGAAGCTAGTCAAATTTGACTTACGCTAAAAGCATTTTCGAAATAAAAAGCTCTTTTAAAATTTAGTTTAAACAAAAATTAAAATTACATTCTTCGGAAGCTTTTCTATGCGAAACAGAAGTCAAAATGAGTTTTAGCTAAGATTGAAAAGAATAAAAACTTCAAATTTTGCAATCCTTAAAAGGTGAAGATGTAAATACGTCTAAATTACCGAAGCCATCATCAAGAAATATCAAATAACTTGAGATAGGTTAATAACATGTTTAATGTGCTAAATTAGATTGCATTAAACAAGATTCAAAAGGATACAAAGTTCAAGTCTAGTGCTTTTCTATTTTCATTTTTTTTTTTTACTTCTTTATCTATTTTTTATTTCTTGAAAAGGAGGATGCATATACATCTAAATTGCAAAAGCCAACATCAAGAAGTATCAAACGACTCGCATTACATTACTAGCATAAATAAACATATTGAATTTAACCACAATAAAGAAGTATAATAAAAAATTCGGAACCGAGGATGCAAATATGTATATCTAAATTACAATTCATAATTAATAAATATCAAATTACTTTGCATTACGTACTAACACGTTTGATATGTAAATAAGGACACAAAGTTCAAAAATCTTGTGCACTTTAAAAAGTGAAGATGTGAACGTCTCCATTAATAAAGTTTAACATCAAGAAATACCAAATGTCTAAATTACAAAAGCCAACATCAAGAAATATTAGGCAACTTGCCTAAAAAATTGGTGTTAATCATCAAACTTGGCAGCGTTTGGACCCTTCACAATACAAAAGAAGTCAAGAACAAGAAAATAGTGAACCACCTGACAATGCAAATTGGGAATCACTTAGGGTCTATAGAGGAGTTTCATGATAAAGTCACATTGGACTAGCTCATTCTAAAAGCACATCTAACGAGACAAAGTATTTTCAGAAAGTTATCCAAATAGGCCCAAAAACAACTTCTTAAACTTAAGAGCAGACTTTGGCTTTTCTACCAAACAAGCATTAAATCAAAATTCTTCAAAAGATCTGCAGGCCAAAAATTACGTGACACTGCTATTGTACCCACCAAATTGTTTGGACTAATGCATGTCATTATCATAAAATCGGGAGCTTTGTAAGACTAACTTCAGCATTCATACACTGAAAAAGGTACTGGAAAGACATAAAATTCAAATTCAAGACTTTGCCATGCATTTTTACAGTAAACCAATAGTTCCAGGGCAGTCACTAACAGCAAAAATATACTCTGTGAACAGTACAAAATCAATCTCTGCATGTATAGACTGAAAAGGTACTTAGAAGCTCATAAAATTCAAATTCAAGAAGATTGAATGTAAATTGCCAGCCATCATATCAGACACTAACAGCAAACATATACTCCAAAAAACGTTCCTGGTCAAACCCTCCTTTCAGAAGATCTAAATTTTACTACGTTCTTGTGGCCACTGTTTTGAGCTCTGCTAAATAAGTTACACAAGAACTCATTTAAGTCACTTGAGAAGTCATGCACCTTTGAAAGAAGTACCCAAGTTCCTACCACCATAAAGCAATACTAGAATACTTGATAAATTCTTCAGTTTTCCTTAACTTACAAAGTCTCCGCCACAAATTCATCCCAAGTTGAAAAAGATGGAGCCATTAACAACCTGTATACGAATTTTTAAGTGTCAATTTGGGAGATCAACATTTAGTTATACTTAAATGCAGTTTTACATACACCCGAGCAAAAAGCAGAACAGAGTGCCATGCCAGCTAATATATTATTGACCATGAAGAGGCAGAGGTGACAATTATACATCACTAACCTCGCAAGCATACTTAACTCTGATCTCGAAGCTATCATGGATATTCAAAATGTAGCCAGAAATACGTTTGGCTATTAAATATCCCGTTAAGAACAAAACAACGGGATGGAAAAACAAAGAACAATTTCTTCTAGTCTTCCAATGTTCAACTACCAACCCAGTTTCCCTGTTCTTATTTGACATGGGGGTGTAGAGGAAAACAGGTCAAGTAGAAAGTGAAGTGTAGACAAAATTACAGTGGATTTCAGTTATTCCATTTTATAATCAGTTCAAATGGAAAAGAAAACAAAATAGCAAGGACAGTTGTCATGCTAGTAAAGAACTATAGTAACATTAAATGTAATGATACGGTCTAAGGTAATGAATGGAAAAGGAAATCATAAGTCATCCAATCAATTGGTGATGCCTTGGCATATCATTCATTACATCTTTCATAAAAAATGAAAAGAACAAAGATATTATACAAGTGATTAAGTTCGAACGTCAGTGACAAATGATTCAGGAAGTTCAAAAGAATGAAAATTCCCTTTGCATGCAAGTTAGATTCAAAATTGGTATTTCTATGTTTTAATAGTTTGCATTCACAATGAATTTTGAAAGAGATAATTTCAAAATTCAGTCCACGTAATAACAACTACCACTCATATCCTTCCATAGTAAAGTAAAGAACATAACGTGATAAGCAATTCAAATATTTAGATCCATGAAAGATACAAAATATAAGCAGCAACATTAATCGCCATATTTTTTCTCCCGTAGTTCAATTTTCCAGAAGTAATTCACTAATAAATTTAACTGATATGACCAATAGAGGAGTTCACATATTAGTTATCATCACTAAATGTTGGGGGGTGCGGGGGTTAATTGAAATAGTAGAAAATCAAGAAATTTGGAAACATCTTTCATACACCACTAAATGAAAATTTATACGAGTCAGGGGGTCAGTCATTTGTTTTACCTGTATACTGGCAGAGGAAATGCTTCCAGAGTAACACATCATTCATTTGGTAGAGGTCCCAAAAGTTCAGAAACTTTTTCTCCAGTTTTCAGATTTTCCTTTTTTCTATAACAATCGATAAGCTCTGTAGCATCTGTCTCGAGACCTGTCAATTTCTTGTCTAACATATTAATCTTCTCAAGAAATGCTTCAAATTGACCAGTATAGCCCTCTTCTGCTTCCTTTGCCTTCTGTTCTAAAATTGAGCAATTTATCCGATATTCTTCTTCTTGTTTCTCACGTAGCTTCTCTATTTCACCAGTGCTCAACATAAGACCACCAGGTCCAGTATCCTTGTACAATGGTTCTTCAGGAAGCTGAGCCCTTTGCCTGTATTCTGCAAAAGCCCTTTGGGTTTCCTTTAAGGCCTTCCTATAACCATCCAATATACCCCCCATTAAATATAGCTCTCGTTCATAACGATAAAGTTCCCCGTCTCTTTTCTGTATCTCATCCAATTTAGTCTTATGCAAGTGTTCTATCATGTTATCCCGTTTCTGCAACTCATTAAGCAAGAGCTGCTGGTTTAGACTTAAATGCTCCTGCGCCTGTTCCTTCTCCTCATACATCACCCTAGCTCTATCCATTAAATGTTGCATTTGCGCCATGCATGTTCCAAAATCTCCTGGCTTCTGATCCCATGGGTCATTGATCTTTAACCTCTTGTTGCTATCGTTATGTGGGATATCGTTGTCATGTTCCATCACCCTTTTTCCTATGTTATTATTGTTAAAAAATGGTGCAGCAGAATCCATATGCCGCATATCAACCCGAAGATCCACCATAGCATGGTCACGAAGCTGCCCTTGTGAACCAAAACCCATTAGGTTTGCCTCCATTGTTTGAAGTAAATTACCTGTGAGGCCATCCCCTTCAAGAGCATTGACATTTGATAAAATATTAAGCCCGTCCTCAGCTTCCTCCTCTCCTTCCTCTCCCTCTCCCTCTCCCTCTCCCTCCTCCTCGTCCTCTTCCATATCTCCCTCGTCCTCTTTCCTATCCTCAAGGCTGCCAAACCCCCTATCTTCTTCCATACTACAGCGCCCCATGAAATGCCTTCCCATGTTGTTCTTCCCATCCAAATCCCACCGTCCTTGCTCCTCTTGCTCCTCCAACTCAGCATCTTCCTTGCAATTGTCCACATCTATCATCTCCGCATTCTTCACCTCTTCTTCCTCCTCCACAACATCTTGTCCAAGTGTTAGCTCAAAGTTCAGCCCATCCATCACATTACCCTCTACTTCCGGACCTTCACCTTCAACACCAACCTTCACATCCTCCTCATTAACCCCCTCCTCCTCCTCCTCCTCATTAACCCCATCCTCCTCCTCCTTTGCTTTCACATTCTCCTCATTAACCCCATCCTCCTCCTCCTTTGCTTTCACATTCTCCTCATTAACCCCATCCTCCTCCTCCTCCTTTGCCTTCACATCCATCTTATTAACCCCATCCTCCTCCTCCTCCTTGGCTTTCACATTCTCCTCATTAACCCCATCCTCCTCCGTTGCCGTCACATCCTCCTCATTAACCCCATTCTTCTCCTCCATTGCTCTCACATTCTCCCCATTAACGCCATCCTCCTCCTCCTCCTCCTTTGCCTTCACATCCTCCTCATTAACCCCATCCTCCTCATTAGCCTTCATGTCCTCTTCATTAACCCCATCCTCCTCCTTTGTCTTCACATCCTCCTCATTTACTCCATCCTCCTCCTTTACCTCCACATTCAACTCCACCTTTTCCATTGCCGTCTCTTCCTCCCTCAACAATAACACCTCTTCGCGCTGCGACTTAATTAAGTACTGAAAATGTGATGCATAGTAGCAATCCCCCAAGCGCTCTCCTTTAGTCAACTCCTTCTCCATCATTAACCAGAAAAATGTGGCCCAATCCACCTTCTCAGGGTGCCCCTTCCTTATCATCGTCAACCAATTCACCACCTCAACTGGTGTTACCCATAGGTCCTCATGCAAAAGCACACATTTGGACACAAAATCTTCAATAAACACTTTCGAATCTTCAGATACAAGCTCGGAATCCAGGTCCACACTTTCTACTCCACTCACATTCCCCTTTTCCTTCTTCAACGGCAACTTAAATGCACGTGCCATGTCAGCCCTATTGACCGCAATACGGAACTCATTAACATAGCTACACCTCAGTTTTGGATCATAAGTAGCAACCAACTGTGCAATCAAGTCTACCCTTACATCCCTATCAAATTCTAGATGAAAAAAATCCCACAAACCAAGTTTCTTCAAAAGTTTCTCATGCTTAGAGAAATCAAGCATATTAGGTGGTATAGAGGGGATGGGATTCAATTTTTCCATCAAAGCTTGCAACTTTTTTTCAATCGCTTGTTGTTTCTTAACATTGGACTTACCCTTCTTCCTCTTGTTGACTCCCCTACGATTTTGAGGGTTGTGGGATGGAGTCGTCACAGATCCCTCAGAAACAGCCATGTGGGGGTCTGTTATTGGTAAGACAACGTGCAACTCGGCGAATGATTCTTGTACCTTTGGGGCTTCAGGGTTTTCTTGATCTTCAGACTGAGCTTCTTCTGGAGCCCAGCCCTGATCGGGTTGATTCTCAATTTCATGGATCTGGGTTTGGGGATCTTCATCCAAGATTAAGGGTTCTTGGGCCTCTTGCAGGTGCTGNTCACGCTCAAGGAGCACTAGTTAGAGTAAATTTAAGGGATAATTGCAGCATCGGTCCCAAATCTTCATCTTTTTAGCAGATTTGGCCAAATCTTTTAAAAATTTGCACCAGGAGGACAAACTATCAGTAACCGTCAATTACACATTTTGTTGACCAAAAGTCGACCGTCTAATCAAAATTTGACTACTTTAAGCTCCTGTTTTCATATTATAATTTTTCTCTTTTATTTGCAACTATATAATTTTTCATAAAATAGTATTATACATAAATTAATTTTTTTTTTGCTTTTTCAACAACATAGTTTTCAAAAAATACTATTTCAAAAATAAAAATACCAAATAATGGAGGTAGTGACGAATTTAGAATGTTGAGTCAGCACGGACGGTCGTTAACTGTCAACCGTGAACTGTCGGCCGCAATAAAATATTAAGAGCTCATTTGATGTCATTTAAAAAAAATACACTTTGAAATAGTAATTTGATGGAGAATGTGTAGTTAAAAATAAAAAAAATGAATTTACGTATAACATTATTTTATTAAAGAATGTTTGATCGAAAATTAAAAAAAATGTATTATGAACTAAATGAAAATCAAATAAGGTTTAAAATTAAAAAAATAATTATTTTGTTGAAGTTGAACATATATAATTTTGTTATAAGAATAAATTGTACTCACCAAATGATATTGTTGATTTGTATAATTCAAAGGAAGAACATGTTGTTCAAATTTTTACAATTGCATTAAAATCGGTAAAATCTAACATATATTATTTTGTTAAATTTACTATCATAACTCATTAAGTGTCATAATGGTCAAATTATCAATATTTCTAAGAAGAGCTCACAAGTTCAATTCCCTTAGGCTTTCCTTATCACAATAATTTTTGGTGAAAATTGTATAACTAAAAGTGTTATACAATATTCAATAAATTGGTTGACAAAAGTTTCGAACTCAGGACATCCAGGAAACACATGCAAGCACTCACCAACTTGGCTAGAAGGAAGAGCTAAAATGAAAATGGATTACCAATAATATATCCTAAACATTTGTCTATTCTAAACCCCAAAAAAGGACTCCCGGTGGATCCAGTACGCACAGCCGTAGGACTCGTCAGGTGCTGTATCCGCCAGTGAATAGGGGCAAACAAGGGCTAAAAGGGTAAAATGATAATTTCAAATTATTTCATATCACATAATTAAACAAAACAAAAAATAAAGTATAATTTGCGACCCACTTCCCCAACCCATCCACTACCAAACTTCCTCTTCTTCTTTTCTACCCTACCATCGAACTAAGCCACGGTTGCCATCACCATCTCCACCATTACCTTCTTCCCCAACCATTCTTCCTTTTTTTTCCACATCTTATCCCACCAGATCGAACCCAAATTGAACCCACAATGAACTCATCTTCTCCAATCAATTTTCAAATCTCGAACTCTAGTATTGCTCGAAAAGTTGAGGATGGATTTCGGCGGCGTAAAAGCCAAATTGGCGGCAAAATCATCCAAGAATGCATGTAGGTTTTAGAATTCTCTATGCTAAAGTGCTGAAAAAAGATAAAATTGCGTAGTTCAAATAAGAGTTAAGCCCCATTTTCCTGTTAACAGATTTAAGCCCCCCTTTACAGCCATTAATGTCAATCGTTTTATGGCTATAGATCGTTTTGTGGCAATAAATCTACCTCTGCAGCAATTTTTTCTATAAGTGCTTGTTAGGCAATTTTGTTGTCAAACGACCTCCCCGGGCGATGATATAACCTCGGTTGTTTATTATCAATCGGCATCGGCCTAATGATTGATTAGCACATCGACACAATTAACGAGACGACACAATCCATTTTGTTATGGACCGTTCGAAGTAACCTATTTTATAGTGTTGCTCACGGTTCTCGCACCATTCCTTGGAAGGCTATGTTATTATTGTTGAGGCCCAATTATTTGAGTCGAGCCTTTGATCCACCACTTAGCCATAATTGTAACTTACCTTGTTTGGACAATACTCTTGGCATATATTCCTCTCAACCTCTCGGCCTCCATTTAGAGTGAAAAAACCCTCTTTGTGAGCTTCTCTCTCTCGGCCGTTTCTTCCCTCCCTCTCTGTGACCTTTGTGGTTGATATATTGTGGGTATTTTCTTGGCCTTCTTCTTCCCATATCCATAGCAACCGGACCGTGGTGGCACAAGGTGGTATTGGAGTTGTCTCAAGAAATGGTGTCGATGTTTTTGGTAAATTGAGCCCGGTTTTGCACTGCTTGGCTGTGGAATTCGGTCCTACAGTGGTTGATCTCTGTAAATGATTGTTTTTCTCATGTTTGAGGTGTAGTTCTGAAGTTGGATTAAGTTAATGGATGGTCAAAGGAACTGATATCAGCCAATGAGCACTTTAAAAGCAAATTCGTGGTTACAATTTCAGAAAATCCCGTTGAAGTTTGTCTTGTTGTTCTGTAGTTTCATTTGTTGTTTCAATAATATTTTGCTGTTAGAAAGTAATAGAACGTTACTATGATAGTGTGAAGGTTTTTTCAATTGGTGACAATGAAAATGGTGGTGGTTTCTGACTTCTTTCTTTTTGATTTGTTGTGACGATGGGTGTTTTCAGTTGTGCTCCACGGCTAAAAATGGTAGAGTTGTGAAGTGGCAATGGTGATGGTAAGAGGTTGTAGGTAATTTGTGGTGGCGACGATGTAGGTAAGGGAAGGTGGTCATGGAAACGACACTAAGGTTGTTTATAGGATAACGTGGCATTTTTTTTAAAAATAAAAATAAAATCGAAGAAAAGTACAACTTGAAAAACACACCCTTCTTTCCAAATTTATACCCACAGAACCTATACCCATAAATCTATACCCACAAAATCCATTTCTCCCTAAACCGAAATCCACACAGTCGGTACTTTGTTGCCTTACCATCTCCAGCAACACTTCAAATGAAGGTGTCATCGTCGCTCTAGTAGCAATTCCATTGACTGTTTCGTCACTGAACTGTTCAATTCTATGGCCGCACTTTGTTTTGACCCCGCCAATATAAAAAATTAGTCTTATATTCTTTATTTATTTTTATGCTTTTAGTTATCTTCATTGATTCAAAATAGTGGTTCTAAAGATTTTCAAATTCAAACCTAAGGGGAACTTCTAATTTTCTCCCTTTTCCAATTTTATTAAATGGTATTATTTTTCTATTTTTTGGAAGGTTTATATTTGATTGAAAATTTTCAAGATGATGATAAATTTACTTTAATTTGTTTTCATATTACGGACCTGTTGAAAAAGGGCCTCTCTGTTATGCTTAATCGTATGTTCATATTCCACACGTGCCCTACAAATTTAAATAATAAAAATACTCTTCCTCCATTTGAAGTAATTGAGCTTATTAGTTTCTTGATTTCTTGAAATGTGATATAATTGATTTTTATGATGTCGGATTACTCTTTTAGAGTTTCGGGTTCCAATGGATCATCTATGCATGTTATACATCTACTTATTTATTTGAGTCGATCGTGATCCGTGGCTTATTTTCCTCGTAGAATGAGCGGAAGGAATTATAGAATTTGTCATTATTGTAGAGCAAAGGGCCACTCATTTGTCGAATGCCCACAAAACGCCGATGCCTATTATGTAAGCATGGATTCGAGAAGTATTTCATGTTGGAGAAAGAAACGGTCAACAAAGGGCAATTATTTCTTTGCTGCAGTGATAATTGTGGATTTTGAGACTGAGTTCGAAACAATAATCAAGCGGTCAATCTTCTAGCGATAGCACTTTCTCAGTTAACTTGGCAACGTATGAAAGAGTTGAAGATATGGACCACATATTCCAATCTCGAGTCTGCCTCAATGATGAAGAAGAACTATAAATTTCGATGATCGTGATGATTTGCAAAGCAAAAGGTAGTGCGGAAGGGAATGCAAAAGGGAACTAAATCTTTTGTTTTGTGTTGTTGTGTAAGATTGTTTCCGCATCTCAATTTCATTAGACGGTGTTAAAATCCATCTTTCGTATTCGAAGCTTTGAAGTGTGCATAATGTTATTATTTCTTTAAATTGTCTTACTTGGCATGAAACAAGCAGTGCTAAAAACTTGACAAGATCAACACTAACAAAAATTGCACTCAATAGCTCATCAGTAAAAAATAATACATTTTCAAACTAAATATTTGAAGGATGAAAGAGTTGATCATTGCAGACGAAATAAAAGAATGCAGTCAACAATGAGATGGCCATATGATATTCATTACAACATAGTAAAAACAAGCACCACTAGAAGAGAAGTTTCCCACGACTAAGTATTCTCATTTTCCCGAAGAAGATAGTACCCATCACATAGGAGATGTAAACAAACACGCAAAAAAAAAAAAAAAAATTACAAACAAACTTAGATAGTGTGACATATGCCAGAGCTTGACCTAACATCGCACGCCTCTGTTGCCTTTGTTAAATAAGTTTTGATAATAGTATGTTAACGCTTGACTTATAATAAAATACCATATGAAATAGTTAATGATGCATCCATGAAAATTGATATTTAAATTCATATATCAAGACATGTTCATATATTATGAATTGTACATTACATTTTCAGTGGAGAGAGAGATGAAATTTGTAGCCGATAAAAGTTTTGAAAGGGAAAATGGCGCAGGCATCAACAATTGCACAAGTGAGAATATAGTCGGCATGGAATTGTGCAAATATGATATTGGGGCCGACATAGAATATTGTTGAGGTGGCTAATAATTCATTCTACCAACAACCGTATTACTATTGTTATTCCTTTACCTCTTACTTGTGCTGGACGTCGAACCGGACTGCATGTGCATCAACGTTAATCGATAATTTGTAATTCAAAATAATCTTAAATCTACAGCAAGCAAAAGAACATACCTTTGCTTTATTCGATGCCATTTCCAATTGGCACTTTCTCCGAAGTTTCTTTGGCGCTTTCTTTCGTCGTGCCAATTTCAGATCGAGTATGCTTTTGCTTGTAGTTTTTGATAAATCA